TGATTGTCCCCCTAAGCCATTCCAATCACAGGCTTGCCGTTAAAATAATGCTCACCTACTGCGCTTCCAGCCGGGCCATCTACCTTTTTCGCTGGCAGGGTCGTGCCCAGTCAAGCCTGATGAGGCTGCCACAGGCCCCGGGCGCCACGCTGGAGGCCCGGCTACACCTGTTTATCACCAAGTCACTTCCTCTGCCTTCCCTCCTCCCAGCTTGGAAAGGAGCATTAATTAAACCGGTAAACAAGTCGGTTCCCATTCTAAATCAGAGCTGCAGGCAACTAAGAGATAACTTGGGCTCCGGAAAAGGGGGATTTTCAGCTAATTTATGGAACCCACCGTCACTCCTCTCTCCTCGAGCAGCCAGCTCCCCGTTTAACAGGGGAAATTGACGCAGACAGCCTTTGTCTAAACACTTCTTTTGCCCAGAATATCTTAATTTTGCTATTTGAATGTTTAATCAGGTTTGGGGTGCTGCTACTGCTTTATAATTGTAATGGGGCCGCCCTTTGGGCCCTGGGAGGCAAGGACCCTGCTGCTTTTCGAGGCTGCGCTAGCGGCTGGCGCTAGACCGAGGCTGAGCTTCCGGGACCCGCCTGGCCCGCGGGCACCCACCTTTACTTTCATTTACCCCCACCCCGACGCTGCCGTTGTGTCGCGTCCATGTCCCCCGCCCCCCGTTCCTGCTTTCTCTGCTCTCTAACTCGGGGCGCAGCGGGTCGCGGCCCTGGGGCCTCGCCCTGGCTCATTTCCGGCCACCGCTGCGAGAACGCGGGGCCGGCTAATTAATTTCTCCTGGAAGGGGGCTCTGTGTGTGGTTCTCACTGCCAAGCGGCGCCTGGAAGTCCTCAGCGTTGGTGGGAATCACACCGAAATGGTGATTCTCCTAAGATTACGGGCAGTCCAAGAAAAACCCAGGGCGGGTCTGCAGCATGTCCTATCTGAACCTTTGTGGCGAACCCCAGGGGAGTCTTCTACCTCTTTTCATGCCAACTTGCTTTTCCGGGCGGCCTAGCCGCTAACAATGTTGACAAATTAATTGTGAATTAGTTGTACCGTAAAAGATTAAATTATATTATGCAGCATGTTGTCATAAAGTGATATAAAACAATAAGAAAATAAATGTAAATGAATTCAAGGTGCTGACACGCACAACGCCAACCTGAGATCTGTGCACGCAGCCCGAGACGCGCGGGGAAGGGGCCGTGGGCAGAGACCGCGCTCGCTGCGGACGCGGTGCGCCAAGGGTTAAGCGGCGCTCGCTCGCCTCCAGGCCAGGCTGCCCTCCCCTGCGTGCTGATTTTCAGGCCCACTGAGGCGCCCGCCCGAGAAAGTTTTCTATTCGACGAGGCTCGAGCGTCTCAGGGGCTGAGCTCCTTAGAAAGCGTCGGGGCCCCCGAGGGCCGCCTTGCGGGGAGGGGGGCGGCCAGTCCTGGCCACGCTAATTACAAGGATTCGGTTTCCCTGCTCTGAAGGAATGCATTACCTGCAGCAAAGGAGGCACAGCCTCTCAGGAAGGCCCCGAGAGGCAGCTGAAAGCCCCAGAAAATTCCAGCCCCATCCCAAGGTTTATACCCACAAGCCCAGCCCATGCTGAGAGACTAATCGCTTGGCCATTGTCAGAGCTGTTGTCCAATCAGCCCTTGAATAGCCAAACTTCACAATGCCGAGTATGAATTAGCGGGGAACAAATGTGGGTGCAGACTTTTTTTGCAACAATACCTAACTGAGCCTTTCAGACAGGACAACGGATGTACAAAAGCTCGACGGAAATTGGAGTAACTTTTGGAAGCCCTCGTAGCTCCTGTCAATAAGCGTTAGCTCCATAATGGCGCCCCGGCTGCCGCTGCCTCCCACCCCCCTTCACTGGGCGATGGATCAATTGTTTGTGGGGTGCATTGGGCGGGAGTCATAAAAATTGGGCATTTTTGTTGTCCTCGTCTTGGAAACGGTGGCCCTCTCTTGAACGCAGCCAAATGGATTCATCCGTGTCTTTCTCTCTCTCAATCTAGTTCTCTCTTTCTAAAATGTGAATTGTACATTTGGTCGTTATTTAGCCCACCATAAAGTACTGAGAACGTCCCCTGTCTTTGTCTGCCCACCCCCCAGAAGAACAGAATAGCTTCTTGAGCTATACAAATGTCAGGTCTCTGTTTTAAAATTTAGCTTTGTTTACCCAACAGAATGGAATTCATTACCGTGTAAAAGTGGTTCCATTTTCTGATCTTTTTATTCAAAATGTTGAGAGTATCAAAAAGCTCATTTGAAGGTCACAGGTTTATGTATCTATTCTCTTAAGTGTTTTAGAAATTCATATAGAGGACACAAAAGGTGGAAAATGTGAAAACACACTGTTCATTGTTTATCCTAACCTTGCCATGGTTATTAGATAAATGAGTGTAGGGGAAAAATGGCATTAAAAGCCATTGTGAACTGGGGAATTTTTTTTCCCCTGAAGACTGTTAATTTTAGCCCTTGATCTATAAAGGTCAATTTCTAATTCTTTTTACTGTGCAGTTTATATAACTTCTGCATTTCAAGTCTATAAAAAGCTTTTGCAGACTTTTCATAATGTAAGTAGCAATTTATTTCATTACGGTTTGAATTTTTTATATAATTCCTATGGACATTTTGATGAAATTGTCAGGCTTAAAAGCTGTAGTGCTTTTCCATGGGGGGGTTCGGGGTGAACTTTTTTTTTTTTGCTCCGATCCATTCTTGCTGGATAATTTAAAATTAGTAAGATTAATCAGTTCAGTGATTTAAAAGACCACACTTTGGTTGGCATAAGGTCTGAGACAAAATCATTTTTTTTTATTATTAGGAAATGATTTAAAAGGTCTTTTCAACTAGTTATCTGAAGCCGATATTTAACTGTTACTTATTCCACTAATTTCTATCTTTTGTTAAAAGAACTTTGCCGCCTAAAGCTCCTCGCTCTGTCCCATGCTAATTGCAGCTTACATTATATAAATGGCTTTGTAAAGAAAACTATAACTCCGAGCCTTGGAAGTTGCGTGTTTCTATTTGCTCAAACTTGATGCACTTGTTTGAAGAGGGTCATTGCAGGGAGAGCTGTGTAGCCTGTAAGAATGTCCTGGATAACAAGCTTAAACAGAACCTTTTGTTGTGGCTAGTATTCTCAGGACTCCAAAATGAGGCCTCCTTTTTCAAACTGCGGGCTGAAGTGGTTCATTACTGCTGTTTCCTCCGCCCGGCCAGGGCTCAGCCATTCCCACTACTGAAGGTCTGTAACTTCCTTAAAAAGGAAGAAGGAAAACATGGCCCAGAAAGGTCTTGTTAGCACTTCCTATGTGAAATTAGCAGCTTTCTAAAAGGTACAACTCCAATTACCTCACATTGTGGCAGCGAGCACAAACTCAACAATATGCACAGCCTAGCAAGTGACATTCTGTCTTTCTAGAGTTACTTCCCTAATTAGGAATGAAGAAGCTCTATTCTGCTGAGTGCATCTATTTACAGTGGCCACAATGCTTTAACTTGAGCATCCTTCTCAAAGACCAGTGTTAAAAAACACAAGTGCTCTTTTCGCTGAGCAGGCAATGGTGAGGCAACACATTCCTAACGGTTACGCCCTGGTTTGGGGTGGCGGGGCGGGGGTCGGCGGTGTGGAGAGAAAAAAGTGTCTCGGCTTTAGCAGGATTGTTAACACTTCAGCGTTCGTTCTCCACAATGACGCCCTTGCCCAGAGAGCTCTGGGAATGACAGTGGACAATGGGGAGGCCTTCTTAGGAGGGTCTAATGATGGAATCAAAAGAAAAATATTTATTGCTTTTGACAGTCCCACAAGGGGCACAAATCCTTGTCGTGGCTAAAGTTCCCTTAGCTGTTGGAGGAAGGCGACTCGCGGGGACTCAAACAGTCCCACTTCCTTTGTTAGGACGCTGAGTACCAGGGCCAAGCTGGGAAATTAAAGATTAAGTTCATTAAAGGTAAGGTAATTGTGCTGAGGCATTGTTGTTGATACAGGTGGAGCGGTGGGGGCTGGGATAGGGCGCATTTACATGTAGGACGGCCCATTAAACAGGCTTAGCAGACGGCCCCGCAAACATGTTGATTATTTGCCTGATGGCTGACCTATGCCTTCGCTGTTTCATTAGTCAACAAGCCCCCCCCCCCACCCAAGGAGGGATGGGGCTCCCTGCTGGGAGCCAGGTGGAAGAGAAGGCAAGGCTCTTCCTGGTAGGGAAGAAACCAATCCCAGTCTTCCCCCACTTCCCCGGAGAGGAGGGGTGCTATTTGACCTGCTCTCTGCCTCCCACGCTGTCCCCAGCCCCACCGAGGGCACCGGCCCCCTACTGCTGGGGGAACTGGGACTGTTCTCTCCCGTGTGAGGTTTATCTTTGCGTTTTTCTGGATGCAGCCCTTCTTCAAGAAGATGTGGAGCTCCCAGCTGTCTGCAGACTTAGCAATGATCTTTTCCGGAAACTTCTCCAGCACTGCCTTTCCTTCCCCACCCCGGAGACTGACCTCCGCAGGAACTGACAGCCCTGGAAATTTGGGCGGCTTGCTTTCCAGTGTGTTCTCACGCAGGTGCTCTCTGCCCTGCCGTGCATCGGGCATACCTTCTCTGTTCTGTTATAGTAAACTGCCTTTTTCTTACTGGGGAAGGAGTTCCTCCTTGCTCCAATCCCTAGGAAGATGGAGAAGGCGAGGAAGGAATTCCCGGACTTCTTGGGGGCCTGGGATCCCTAATATCTCAGAAAAGAGGAGGGTTGGGGAAGGATCCCACTTTGCTTTCTGCAGTCAATAGTTCATCATGTCAGGTGTGTTCACTTAGTTTTTCCATTTCTGGTAAGGAACTGAGGCATGGAGTTAAGACCGGACATGGCTTGGATAACAGCTATGCTGCGAGAAAAAGCACTCATGTATTTGCAAGATTGGGTTGCTTATTACCGACACAAAACCTCACCTGCTTTCCTTTCTCCACCTTGCCCCCCACTCCTGACCCCCTCTGAGGAAAATAAGCAGTGTCATAATGATTTTGGTCAATAGATTTCTTTTAAATATCACCTGAGCATGGGGAGACATTTTGAGAAGATCCTGTGGAGTTAGTGTTGGTGTGTGAAAAAAGGACTCTAATTTTAGAGAGGTTTAAAAAGTATGCAACTACACTCACAAGGTGAGTGTTCCAAGAGGGAAGCATGGACATGTCTGGATCCATTCCGATGGTGTCATGTCTTCATACTTGCTGGTGTTTTGTTTTAAAAGGAAAGCTTGCACAGGTTGTTGATTGCCTTTAGCTGGTCAGGCTTCCATAATGAGGAATGAAAAAGAAAGACCATTTAGATATTTTTGTAGATTCTAACAGAGAAGTTTTTCAGGAAAGTATTTTCAATAGAATGTGTCTGTTGATTTGGGCAGAACTTGAAATCATTCACCAGCAAGCAACATTTAGCAAGCATCTTGGTGTTTTATGCCTCCCATGCTTATGTTAGAGCTTCTTTTTATTTATTCCTATAAAGTGTTCTTTGTCCTTGAGAATGTTGAATAGACTTCTTTCAGAAGTTATCAGAGACTGGTCTGATAAATCGGACGAGAAATTAAGAACATCTGAGTTATTTTCTAAGATGGGTTAATGAAGAGATGAGGATTTGCATTTTCTTTTAAAAACCTAATGAGCAAGTAAAACAGGTGGGAGGCAGGGAGCTTGGCTGTCATATTGTGATTTATCAGAGAGCAGAAAGGAAAATTTGATACAAACAAGATGCCAGGCTGCAGCTTACTGGGAATATGTTAAAGAGTGTGATCATTGGCCTTTTACAATTGAGAATACAGTTTGAAAACTGCACACAATATCCTCAGAATGTTTGTGTGTACTGCCACAGTTATCTCTGTAAACAGCCTTTTAACAAGAAGAGAAAAACAGCTTTGTCAATAATCAGAGATGAGAACGCTGCTCCCTCAACTGGGAGAGGCTGCATGTATATGTGCAGCCCCACTGAATTAAGAGGCTTTTTCTTTAATGTCCAAAAAAATAAGTAAGTAAGTAAGTAAACAACCTGTCATCACATTGTCACAAAGGAAGGGAAGCCTCGTTGTAGAAATTACTCATTGAATTTGAAATTCTTAGATATGCCATTTTGAACTGGGGGTTATGATTAAAGTTGGCAAAAAGAGAGGTGGAGGGAAAGTCTTCTAGAACTTGGGACACTTTTTTAAGGTTTTCTTTTATTTCTACAAGGTAGGACACATCCTTCCATTTACAGGAAGGTGGAGTCTGAAAAACCCTTTAAAACTTCTCACTGAGCCAGGAGTGCAAGAAACATTTTGGGCTATTTGCATCACAATTTTTGGAAATTCTGTTGCAGCTTTTGCATTTTAACTGCTTAATAAGGACTTTTTTTTTATAGAAAAAAAACTCATGAAACAGTGCTTATGAACTTGCTTGTTCACTCTAGTTGCTATGTTGAATTTTAGTGAAAGCTTACTATCCCCTAATTTCTGGAGTGTTTTGGAGGCAAAATTTATATGGTTTAGGATTAACCAATTTAAGGTGAATGAGTCAGTGGCATTTAATACAGTCACAATGTTGTGACTGTAGTTTATTTTTTAGTTATAATTTCTTTCAGTTGCAGAATCACAAGAAGTGGATAACAGTTGCTAAATGGGAATATTCATTCAGCAAGAATTGATGGAGCACATTGTTACAAGAATAGCAGAAGACTGGGCCCCCTGAGGATTTTAAAAATGCCAAAGGACTGTCATGTCCTAAAGACATTGTTTTTTGTTTTTTGTTTTGTTTGTTTGTTTTTAATCCAGGAGCGGTCAAGCTTGTGCTAAAGTAACTTCAGTAACTTCAGTCTGGATTGTTAATTGACTTACTGTTAAACATTACTCCACCCAACAGTTTCATCATCCTAAAATATGGTATTGCTAAATATTTCTCAGCCACAATGATTGAATATTTACTGAGCTATTTTTCTCATAGTGGTTTCATTTTCCGTGCCATATTCACAAGTTTTCCAAACCTGTACTCTATAAACCAAAGTTTCGTCAGCATGTTTGCTTTCATGGGCATATAGCTTATTTGGGTAGGTCTAGTATACCAATATGAAATGATTTGTGTAGCTTTGGCAGGGGAAAATTATTATAAAAGAATAAGCGGAGGTGCCAAAGAAACATAGAGTGCTTAACTTTGCTGAAAAGTGATGTTTCTCAGGGAAATTTTAGACAAAAGTTTCAAGTTCCCTAGATAAGTACTAATGAAAGTGATGACACCAAGAACATGTTCTCTCTAAACTAGATTCTGAAGATTAAAGCTGTTTCATGTAAAAGAAGGGGAAAGAATGATATGTTAAAATATTTATCATTCCTTGAAAAATATCTATCCTTCAAGTAAAGTTTATTTTGAAGATGAGAGTGATGGTGATGATGGAAATGATGATGATGATGGTTGGAGGGAGGAATTTGGGGTGAAAATTGTTGCAGAGGAACTGTGACAAAAAACTTATGATTTATATGAAGGAGTTTCAAAGAGTTTGTACAAAATAAAATTGAAAGGTAATTTTGGTGCAAAAAAGGTTTGAAATCCTTGTACAGTTTTTTTTCCCCCACAATATATATTTTTCTAGAAACTATTTTGAAGACTTTCTCCCTATTTGGCAGCATGTGATCAGTCCTGGAGGGTCTTTCTTGGCCCAAAATAAAGCAAAAGAGCAAACTACCTAGTGTTCACTGCGTCTCTCAGCAAATGGTGCATGTAATTTTCTTTGTGGAGGGAAGTTGGTTGTCCTTTTCCAATCCTAGATCTGATGCCTTCCAGTTCTTGACTTTTGGAAGACAATGTGCCCACTCTCAGCCTCTATGTTCCCAATGGGAGTAACAGCTGTCTGATGTGGTGTCTTGAGGATCACATCTTCGACATTCATTAGACTTGTAGTTGCTTAAATACATGGATCCCACACAAAGTGTGATGTTATACAGGGATGGGTGGTTGGGGATAGGGAGTAAAGTACTTTTGGGTGGGAGTTTTACAAGTCATAAAGCCTCAGGTTAATTTATCATAGTGTGTTCGACTTCTGTGGAGATCATTTTAAAAGCTACCCATGAAGATAGGGAGATGTCAGAATTAGTCCTTTGAATGGAAATGTCTAGAGCTCTAGATTTAGTTGAATACCATCTTTGCTGCCACTGACAAATTACAAATATCACCTGAGAAATTATTTCAATTTGCCATCAGACCGAAACCATCCATTTCTCTCTGAAATGTGTCACAATGTTGAGTACTTCCATAACGATAAAAAATGATTGGAATTGCCATGTTTAATTAGAATATTAATCTACTGTCATCTTCCATGATCTTGATTTATAGCAAATTTGCTATTTGCTGTTAAGGTGTTTTACCCTTAAATGAAAATCCTGCTGCTATCCAAAGCCTGATGCTAGCCCAAAGAGGGGCAGTCTGCTGGAGAAGGGAGAGGTGACCCCTGTCTCTTACAAGTTGAAGAAGGAGTTTTTTCCAAGGGAATCAGAAGGACCATCACCCTATAGCTAAAGTCCTCCCTTAATTTTTAAAATCTCCCAACAGTAGGTCTGGCTGAAATACCAATGCTTTTGGAGAAAGGAATTCAGAAAAAGGTGTGAGATATCTTTATGTCTTTTACCAATCCCTTTTCTTGGGTAGAAACTTGAGATTATAGATGGGAAGGAGGGAGTCCATTTCCTCAGAATTTATAATTCTGCTGAACCCTGTGCTGAATCCAAGAAAAATTAGATTTCCTGTAGGGCGAGAGCCTGAGACGTTGTCCTTTAGGGACTGATTTCTTGCCTGTGGGACACCTGGCTGCCAGAGCTGTAAGAGCACATCCTAAGGTCTGTGGGCTGGGTCCATGGAAAGCACTTGGAGTAACCCCGTGGGTCCTTCTTGGGTGCACCTGCCAGTCGAGGTTTGATTCAGCCCATCCTGCCTGGTTCCTTTGCCCAGCCAGCCTCTCCACCTGACTCCTGCTGTGTTCAAGGGCTGCCTCATTCCTGCTGCCCTCTTTCCTCCATCTCCAGTCCTCCCCTGACTTTGGCTCCCCTGGCATTGCTGAGTTACCCCGTGACATCCCCAGCATGGCTCAGGTCCTGGGGTGACTGACATCCTCATTGCTATCTCAGTGATCCTGGGCTTCCTAAACTTCCCACCCAAGCCTTTGTCACATGCTACTCAGTGCATCGTTAACAGTATCTTGGCTGGCCTGGGGGTCAGCTTCATAGACACAGGTGTGGAAGCACCTCACCTTCAGGCTTGTGGGCTTGACAGGAGCTGCCTGCCCTGTGAAGCTACTGGAGCACTATCTGTCCTGCTCTTGGCCTGTCCTGCTGAGAGCCATGTGCTCCATCCCCTCTGTCATGCCTTCCTTGCATTATAGGGTATTTTATTTCCAAGACAGAGTGACAGAAAGAAATGGGGAGAGACATATACATTCCATTTACTGATTTATTCTCCAGATGGCTGCAAAGGCCTCGGTCAAGCCAAAGCCAGGAATCTAGAATTCAATTTGAGTTTTCCATGTGTACCTAAACCATCACCAGCTACTTCCCAGGCACACATTATCAGGAAGCTGAAATCAGGAGCAGAGGCAGAATACTAACACAGGCAATCTGATATGGAATGCTGGCATCCTAAGCAGTGTCTTCAATGCTGGGTCAGAAGCCCCCCCCTCCCCCCCGTCCCCCTCCTGCCTCCTTATTCATCATCCCAAACAGGGAGTCACTAAGTACTAACTCCCTCTCCCTCAAACTTCTGATAACCCCTATTCTACTTGCTGTCTCCAGGAATTTACCTATTTAGATATGTAAAATATGTGGAATCTCAAAAGAGTGGTCCATCTTGTATCTGATATTCTTAGCCCGTGATTTCATGACTCATCTGGCTTGTTATCTGGGCTAGCTGGGTTAGAATTTCCCTGCTCAGTGCTGAATCATCTTATTAATGTCCCCTTGCATGTGTGTACCACTTGCTTACCCACTTGTCTCTAGAAGACACATGGACTACTTCTACCTTTTCACTGTTGTGAATTATGCCGCTCTGAACATGGTTATACATGTATCTGTATGAAAAGCTGTTGTCAGTACTTTGGGTGTATATAATAGGACAGGAGAGACTTGTACCATCACTGGTCTCCTGTTGGTGCTTCATCCCCAGACCCTCTCCCCGTCCACATTACTGGCTCTGACAGCTGGAGCACACAGCCCTGGGAAGCTCCTGCTGGCATCACACCTAGACTGTAGGCAGTGAGCACTTCTGGGCTGCAAGCAGGGAGCT